CCTGAAATGATTAATATTGCATTGATAATTTCTTTTTAGCGTTCTATTTTTCCTCTCGTCAATGCAATTATGTTGAGGGGTATAAGGGGTAGTTAATTCATGGATAATGCCCGAAGTTTCACACAGAGGTTTCAATGTATTTGATTCATATTCTCCCCATCTAGTCGTTTAATCTTTTTGTCTAACTGGTTTTCTACCTCAGTTTTAAAAGCCACAAATTTTTGTTCGGCTTCATCTTTTGTTCTTAGTAAGTATACTTTTGAAAACCGAGAGAAATCATCAATGAATGTAATATAGTAGCGTTTTCCACCTCTACTTTCAGTGGTTTTGAAATCAACTAGATCGGTGTGAATTAATTCTAATACAGATGTAGTACGAGAATTCACAGTTGAAAACGATTTTCTAACAAATTTTGCTTCAGCGCAGATTTCACATTGTGTGCATGCATCATTAGACAAATTTCACAACAAATTCATGCTTCTCAATCTATTTAAACATTTTGTGCCAACATATCCTAATCTACCATGCTAGATATCTAAAGAAAGAGTAATGTAAGCAAAAGAAGAAGCATTGTTATTATTGGTTTGAACATGCCAAGCTGGGATGTGGTTTTCAGTACCAACTACATCTGAATGCTTTCTAACTACTGTAACATCTAACACAAAAAGCCTTCCACGCAAATATCCCTTTCCCAAAAATATCCCACGTTGAGTCATGACCATTCGGTCAGACTCAAAAACCAATTTAATTCCAGCCTTATTAAGCAGGCCTGCAGAAATCAGGTTTCTACGAAGGGAGGGGACAAATAGCACATTTTGTAAAATTAACTGTTTCCCAGACCCAAGCATTATTTGTATTTTTCCTCTACCATTTACCTGGGATACGCTAGAGTTCCCCATGAACACTTGTTCTCCTCAAGTGATTGGCTCAAACTCTTTGAACATATCCTTGTTATTGCAGAAGTGACGTGAGGCACCTGTGTCCACAACCCACTCGTCTGGATCTTCAACCGTGTTCGCCTCGGTTATTACTGTTGCTACTATGTCAGAGTTCCCCGTGTCTTCCAGTAGGTGAGCTTGGTTTTTAAGCCCTTCAGTGGTTGGCTTTTGACCATTCTGGTTCGTGTTTCCTTTGCGGTGATAGCATTGGGCAGCACGTGGCCACGTTTACCACAAACGTACCATTCTCCAGTATTTTTTCCTTTTTTCTGAACTTGCCCACTTTTGACACGATTGTTGTTGTTGTTTTTATAATTCTTCCTTTGGTTTCTACTGTTTTCACCAGGCTTTGGCTTATAAAAGCCAACATTAGTTTCAACAACATTTGCTTTAATATTACAAGTAGGAGTAACAGACCTGTGAACCAGACGGTTTTCTTCTTCAATGTTGAGGCTATTGATCAGCTGTTGCAAGGTGTAGTTGCGCCGATCGTGCTTCATCTTGCTTTTGAAGTCCACCCATCAGGCAGTTTATCAACCAGCGAATCACACAGGACGACGTCATTCACTTCAGCACCTTCTGCCTTCATGTCTGCAACAAGGTTTTCGAACTCGTGTACCTGTTCAATAATTAGTTTGGAGTCTGTCATCATAAAGTGCAGCCATCGCCCCATTGGATATTTCCTTCTTCCTGCATCGTCAGCACCATACTTTTCCTTGAGTAAGTCCCAGATTACCTTTGCTGACTTATATGATGAAAACATGTCAAACAAAGGATCTGAAACGCGTTGGAGTATGGTAGTGCGAGCAGTCTTGTTGTCTTTCTCATACTTCGCACGAGCTGCCTGGGATACTGAGGAAGGCTGCGTTGTTCTCGACTTGGGATCCTTGGACGTTGTTGACGACTTTGGATCCGTAGAGTCGTACGAAGCCGTTGCTCGAGAATCCTTTTGAGCAGATGACGCGGGTGACTGAATGCCAGCCAGAACGAATTTGTCAGGGTCTTCGACTATGACATAATCGACATCTTTCGATTCTAGTAGCATCAACAATTTCACAGACCATCTTATGTAGTTCAGACCACCAGTCAGTGGCTGAATCGCAACAATATCAGAACCTGGAGTTGATGCTTGAGACATTGTTGAATTCGAATCCTAAATGTTTTTAACTGTTGGGTATTTCGTAGGAAACCAACAATGTTGTACTCAAGGTACTTTAATATGGCAGTGTCGTGTGAGTGTAACTGGAAAGAAAGGTTTCTGTGTCGTGCTGTAACACTACCTTAAAAGCATTTACGACCAGGGCTTCGCAAGCTTTCGACAGGTAAACACAGAACAACAGAGCTCAGGCAACCTCGTATTACTGTATTGAAAACTGTGTTCACAACGATGGGGAAGGGCGGTTTATATACTGTAAGCTATAACCGCCCAACCCCTTTCAGCCATAGAGAAAGAGCGAAAAGTGTGGAGGATACCAACGCGCTATGTACGCACACGTTCTTGTGTTTAGAAAGAAGTGCGGACAAGGTGATCTGAAGACCCACAAAAATAGGGGTAGAAATGTGTAATGGAGCGCAAAATGTTGACCAAGCAAACTGGGCAGTGACAGAAGTGCACACATGGTTTACCCCTATTTCCTTCCGTAACACTTCAACCCTTCTCAAAGTAGTTGGTGTATAAAGGGGAGTAAAAGATGGGTTAGCTTAGCAATGTGGGATACTTAGGTAAGGACAAAACCTCCCAATGCCTTTGCCTTATAAATGTTTCCCAACACAACAGTGATGGCAACTCGGCTCCCTTCTGCTAATCGACGACAATCTCCGTTGTGCGAACTGATCTCTGCATGGATGATGGTGATCCTGGGTTCCATTTCTGCTTAAGGAAAGAAAACAAGTATTTCGACATATTACTCTATAATTCCAAACCGAAACCATTGGTTGTTTCTAACAACTCCATCTTTTTCAATACTGCGTATAAAATCACCTTCGCAAATCTCTCCATTTTCTATCCCTTCAAACCACAACAAAAATCCGCCATAGACATGCTAGACAAGAGATTAAACCCGGTGCCCGGAAAGATAGCCAGCGGGCCGACCAACCCAAGAAGTCCTTCGGACCACAAGGTTCAGTTGCCGAGAGGGCTGAAAAGTTATGATCTTGGAGGGGTCCACTGTGTAAACCAGTTGAAAGCATCTCCCATCGCTAGAACCACCGTGAATCGCCTGAGAATGCGTTTCAGTTGGCCTCTCTAGAATACATAATGGTGTTAATTATGAAAATACGTATCACTGCCTCACTGGTATAACACATGCATACAAAGGGAAAATAAAAAGAAATGGCTGACACATCCATATAATGGTTAGCGTTGATTGTGTTAATGGTAAAAAATAAAAAAAATAAAAAAATCCAAGCAAATTAATTACCAAAATAGTCCCTTGACTATTGAGAAATTACCAATTTGGTCTTTGACTATTTTTTTAAACCAATTAAGTCCCTCAACTTTAAAAATTTTAACCAATTTGGTCCTCCGTTTGTTTGAACGTTAGTCAACCGTTAACTTGGGACCAAATTGGTAATTTCGCTATAGTCAAGGGACCATTTTGATAATTAACTTTAGGAGTGGGCAATTCGGTTTAGTTTTCTGGAATCGAACCGTACCGAACTAGTTTAGTTCGGTAATATACCAAACAACCGAACGTTATTGGATTCTTGTATACCAAACGGTTCGATAAAAAACCGACTCGAACCGATTCGAATTGTTCGGTAAAAATTTGAACTGAACCGAATACCGTTTGATTTTTTTTTTTTTTTTAAAAAAAATAATAATAAATAAATAAATAAATAAATAAATAAAAAGTAAATCCAAATCCATTGCTGCTTGCTCTGTCGTTCAGCTCATATTCTCACAGGTATCTCTCATAAATGTTTTATTCGATTTCTTTATGGTTTGTTATCAAAAGTTTTATATTATGTGTTATGGTGTTTTCATAGTCCATATCGAAAGTCTAATATATAACAAAATAGCAATCCAAAGTTCAAACGGTATTCGGTTCGGTTCGGTTTTTACCAAACAATTCAGTTCGGTTCGTGTTTTTACTGAACTGTTCGGTATACAAGAATCTATTACCGTTCGGTTGTTCGGTATATTACCGAATCTAACTAGTTTGGTACGATTCGTTCGAGAAAACTTAATTGAATTGCCCACCTTTAAAGTTAATTACCAAAATGGTCCCCTGACTATAGCGAATTACCAATTTGATCCCAAGTCAACGGTTGACTAACGGTCAAACAAACGAAGGACCAAATTGGTTAAGATTTTTAAAGTTGAGAGACTTAATTGGTCAAAAAATAGTCAAGGACCAAATTGGTAATTTCGCTATAGTCAAGGGACCATTTCGGTAATTAACTCCCTACAACTTATAGGTAACCTGTGAAAAGTTCTAGATGGAAAAAAAATTTGGTTTGTGAATCGAAACAGCAGTTATGAACGGTAAGGGTATGACATGAAGAATCGCTTATGGTTCATGGTGCGGGATTACACTTAAGCCTATTTAAAAATTTAAAACAAAATTACATTTTTTAAAATGCTGTGTGTGGGTGGGGGGGGGGGGGGGGGGGGCGGGCAAGACAGAACATATATATATGTATATTTATTTATTTATTTTATTACGGCATGGCCCGCGGGCTGCAGGTCTTAGCGGGCTATGCCCGTTAGGCCCGCTATTTCGCGTGCCATCTTTTTTGTGGTCTTAACCCGTGAAATTTATAATATATTATACGCTCAAAATGGATAATAGGTGAATGAGAAATTGATTTTTAAAGTAGATACATTTGAGTTGGAAAATGAAGTATATAATTCAGTTCATTTTCCGAAAAATGAACGAAACACAAAAAGACAGTTTTTCGTTGTGTAGCCATACACTGGAAAGGAAAATATTTTCTAAAAAATGACTCATTTTCCAAAAAATATTTTTCAGAAGTCATTTTTTTATTTTCCAAACGAAGCATTAATGAATTTGACTTTTATTGCAAACAAAATTAGTAAAATTTATAATTTACAATAAATGAAATTAAAACGAAAAGTTGACTTTTATTGCAAACCAGACAGAAATTACAAATAGTCATTATATATTTGTAAAACATTCCAACCTTATTCTCATAAATTTAAACTTGAATTTTCTCCATTGTAGATTCACATAGAATAAAATAAAAAACTGAAAAACATCACAACTAAAGTAAACCTCTTTGTTTACAACATTCAATTGCCCCATCGAACATGTCCTCCAGACCATACTTGAACTTGAATCCAGCATCCAATAACTTTTTCGAAGATTCTTTGGGATACTTAAACCCTTTCTCCTTTGAGACTCTACAAAAAGACAAATAACACTATTACGTAGAAATTCTTGGACCGAAAAATGTTACTTTTCTTATTAACATAAGTACCTTTGATCATTTTAAATAGGGAAATGATTAAATAGGCCATCAAACTTTACCTAAAAAGTCAATTAGATTCCTAAATATTTTAAAGTTGCAATTAAATTCATCAACATTGTATTTTTGTACAATGAAGCTAAAAAACCGATTAGTGTCACTAGGATTCCGCAACCTTTCGGTGCAAATTCCGACAAGAAAACGACCAACAACCCACAAATGGTCGTCGATTGCAGAGAAGGAATGTGACCTTGGTCGCCTTCCAGAGTGAGAAGGCGACCATTGGGTTGCCTTCTCATCGGAGAAGGCGACGTTGTGTTGCCTTTTCAGGCGGTGAACGCGACCAATCGCCTTCCTTCTTCACGATCGGCGGCGATAATTCGCCGATCATTTTCTTGTCAAAATTTGAGCCAGAGTGTTGTCGGAACTCTAGTGACCTGCTATCACATGTCACTAATCGATTTTTTGACTTCATTGCACCAAAATACAATGTTAATGTGATTAATTGCAACTTTAAAAGGTTTAGAGACTTAATTGACTTTTCAAGTAAAGTTCGAAGGCCTATCTGACATTTTTTTCCTTTAAATATTATATATAAGATATGATTGTTTGTACATATGTGGAAAAAAAAAAAATCTACGTGAAAACGAAATATATTATTATTATTATTATTTAAAAAAGTGAAATTGGAACTTACTTGATAAGTGGAATATTATACTTGTGAGAATATCTAGTGGACAAAAAAGCAGAGAGCTCTCCAACTGTAGTATTGACCGCACAGCAAGTGTACCTTCCTTCCGCGTTTGGATGCTCGAAAACAAAAATGTGTGCACTTGCAAGGTCATCTACGTGCACGAAAGGGATTACTGATTGGTATTCAATCATGGGGTCATTGTCACCTGCACAAATTAAATTAAATTTATGACTTTTTAAAATATATATATATTGGATTTGATGACTTTTTAATATAATAATTAATGTTTACTCTTTTTGTTTGAACATCTAGACATTTTACCTAGTACCGATAAATGATAATAATAATTGATGGAGATATTAGAAATGACTTAGAATAGAGATTCCAAATTCAGGAACCTAGAACCCGAAACTGAAGAAGAAGGTCCAACGACTCAAGATGGAGGACTGGAGGCCCAAGACGAGGGACCCCGGGGGCCCAATAGAGGTTCAAATCGGATGCCCAAGATGCAGGACTCGGAGGCATGAGATGAAGCACCTGGATTAGGCGACCCGGGCATGGGTGACCCAGACTAGGCGCCCAAGTCTCAGGTCTAAGGCCTAGCCTCCACTGCCGTCCCTGGGCGACTCGCTATCCCGCCTCAAAGCCCGTCTCCGAGGTCAAGGCGGCGGCATTTGACGTAACCCTGTGGCCCACCGTGTGGTCTTTGACCAAATCTTGCGGCCCACCACAAAGTTAGGTAAGTTCGTTGAATTTTTTTGGTATAAACAACTTATGTCATGCATAATTTAGACAAATCATGTTCTATTCCATAATATTCTACTCTTACAACCTTCTTGTAATATTCTTGCATTAATCCATTAAATATTACTACAATTATTTGCCTTTATCATTTTATCCTTTATATTTTATGCGAACTTATTGATCTACGCATACCCCATGTCAATTTGTTCGATCAATCAATAATAATTAATGGTTCACTCTTTTTGTTTGGAAATCTAAACATTTTACCTACTACGTAGTACTATACCTTGTGATTATAAAGAAGAGTTTTTCCCATTTTTGGTTTTATGACTTTAGAGTCTCTGTCAACTTGAATTCACAACTTTTATTCTTGACATTAGTAGTGTTCCATTTCAATTTTTTTTTTTTCAAATTTAGTCCATCCAACGACATAACCGGTGAAAACTCACCGAAAGTACCACTTTTCAGGCAAATCAAGAAGTTAACCTTAAGGTGAATTCTTCCACCTTGTTAGTTTGACCGAGAAGTGGTACTTCGTGTGAGTTTTCATTAAAATGACTAAATTCGGAAACACAAAAAATCAAAGTGGGACACTACTTATGTAATGAAAGTTGTGAAAGGATACTTGGAAATCATAGGACCAAAATTGAAAAAAAGGCTTATAAAGAAGGAATACATACCGAATATCCAGGCCATGGACAAACGGACAGAGTAAGGGCATTGAGGAGTGATGAAGGGGCCATGTATATATGGAGGAATCACAGTCACCAAATCAAGCCCACTCTTGTGTGCGAACTCAAAAGCTGCCTTCTCGATCATAGTCTTGCAAATGGAGTACACCTTTTCACGGCTTACCGACGACCTAATATACTCCACATCGCTCCACCACCTCTCGTCCACCACCTCCGCCCCCTCGTCGTTGAAAACCATGGCCGAGTCGCTCGAAGTGTACACAACTCTCTTCACTGTGCCCGCCTTCACGCACAGTTCCAATATACGCACCGCCCCACTCACCGCTTCCCTGTACTTTGCCTCGTCGTCGTCGTCCTCTGGGCTCTCCGGCATCGGCTGCGCCACGTGGAACACCCCCACGCACCCTTCAATCGCCGGGGAAAAACTCTCCGGGTTGTCCAGATCGGCGACGAAGATCCGGAGCCTCTCCGGTGCGCCTTCCAGGTTCGTGAGAAAGCTTGTGTCTTTGGGGTTTCCGCCGGGGTGAGATCTGACGGTGGCGTTCACGGCATAACCTTGTTGGAGGAGTTTCACGATGAGCCGTGATGCCAGAAACCCAGTCCCTCCGGTTACACAAACGCATCCCTTGTCATTTCCTTCCGCCATTTTTATCTTCTATATGCTCTTCGGTGTGATTGTGTCTGATCTCTTTTATCTTTTCTTCACCGGTGCCTATTGACTATTGTGTATATATATACACGGAGTATATCATAGCCTATACCTCGGGTATTCCCTACCCATTTTAAAATATCTATGCTCCCTATCTCTAGTGTTGGCCTGTCCTTTCAATCCAATTGCCAAAATAACGTGTTTGAATTCCCAATTTGGCATTGGATTATTTTTAAAGATCTGGAATGTCTTGAGTATACTTTAACTCGTACTTTATGAAGATTAATACCCATTCGCATTGAGTCGACCTAATTAAAGGACAAAGTGATGGTTAATTGGCATGGATATGTGCTCTAGTAAGAATAAGGATTAAGAAAAAGTTCTACTATATGTACTCTCAAATCTTAGGTTTTTAAATATACTATCTGGAGTAAATACCATTCGAGGTCCCTCGAGTATAGTGATTTTGCCACGTTTAGTCCTAAACTTTCAAATTGACCATCTGTGGTCCTTCGATTTTCAAATTTAACCATTCGTGGTCCAAGTTAACCACCCATAGTCCTTCAACTATTAAATTTTAACCAACCATGGTCCTTTCAAGAGTACCACAACTGGTTAAATTTCAAAACTTGAAGGACCATATGTGGTTAACTTGGACTACTAATGGTTAAATTTGAAAGTCGAAGGACCACAGATGGTCAATTTGAAAGTTTAGGATTAAATGTGGCAAAATCACTATACTCGGAGGACCTCATATGGTATTAACTCTACTATCTGCGAACATGATAGGCTATTTTCTCCATGTGGGTCCCCAAAGTGTTGGAGTAAAAGGAGTAGAGAAGTGAAGTACATTTAGTATTTTCCTTAAGAAAATAAAAATTACATACGGAGTAACATTTCTAAGCATAAACTAGATTCACTTTATGAATAAGGGTCAAATAGGTCATTCAACTATACAGCAAATTGCAATTAGACTATCGAACTCAAAAAAATTACAATTAGATCCAAGAACAATGTAAAATAATGCAATGCAACCTAAAATGATCTATTGACCTAGCAACATGCTGACGTGGCAGTTATTGGATTTTACAATATCTTTTTTTAATTTTATTTTAATAAATTTAAATTAAATAATTATTTAAAAAAAAAAAAACAAAAAACCCTCACCTTCTTCGAGGAACGAAGAGAAACGAGTGGAAAGCTCAAGCGGTCAAATACTTTCCCGTACTAAAAGTTGCACTAGTACAGAAAATTGAGGAACTAGATGATGGATAATATGTACCCCAAGGACCGGATGGATGAACGACCCGGCGGGACAATGAGCGATCGGATTACGAGTCAGAAAGTACCAAGGGAAAGAGGGGATACGTCTTGCCAAGGCCAAAGATAGCTAATGCTGACCTTACTATAATCATCAACTCGGAGTGAGAGCCATCCTGCTTGGCCGAGGACTGCATGAACCGGTCCTAAAGAGTCGAACGAGTGGAGAGGTATCCTGGGTCCGATACACCCCCAATTTTCATACACTTGAGCCTAGTATAAATAATATATTTAAAGGTAGAAATGCGGAATAAAAGAGAGGGTAAAGTAGATACTAAATAGCCAACAACAACGATAAATGGGATGCTAATCCGATCCGTAGCCACTCTCAATAGAGCAAATACCCGGAAAGCTAACTAACATATCACTATCATAATACATAGTAACGGGGCCCACAAACCCGAATATCCAGAATCTAAGCTCAAACTAGCAAATAAGGCTCTCAGGCCTAAGTGTCAACGCACTACAACACATAAGCAAGGTAGTCTAAGCTACACAGCCTAACATCAAGGAAATGTATAAAAGGGATTGACAAATAAACTAGGAACGAGAACAAAACCATATATTATATCTAGTCCCGTCTATGCGCGCTCAGCAATATTCAGTCAATCCTGAAAGGGGTTAAGCAAAAAGTGTACAAAAATAACCCGTTAGCACGAATGCTAAGTATAAGTCACTTTATCCTGTAAAATACATATAGATATAGATTTAGAAAATGGATAGTTTTACACTTATTACACGTTAAGCCAAACAAGATCATGGATATATAAGTCAAATAGATTCACACACACACACACACAAAATAATCTTATATATATATAGGATTATTTTCAAATACAAACCCCCTTGAAATAAAAACCTCCCTTAAAATACAAACTGTGTGCATGTAAGTATGTTAATGTGTGCACGAGCTCAATTTTATTTTTTAAGGGGGTTTGTATTTGAATGCAACCCTCTCTCTCTCTCTCTCTCTCTCTCTCTATATATATATATATATATATATATATATATATATATATATATATATATATAAGTCTCAATCAAAGTTATATCCCTCATTTATGTTCATGTTTTTAATGCTAATCATTTTGTACATTGTGCTTTTTTTTTTTTTTTTTTTTTTTTGAAAAGTAAATCAGAAGTTTTATTAAATCAAATCAACCATACAAGGAGGAATAGAAAAGCTCCGAATAGAGGGACCAGTTTGAGTACGAGCAGCCCTTGCCACAGCATGAGCTAACTTGTTTACTGATCTAGAAACATAACACAGGGACACTACCTCAAAGTGTCTACGAAAACTCTTACATTCACGAATAATACAACCCGCATAAGATAAATCTTCAGAAGTTCTGTTGAAGAGGTTGCACACTGTCTGACAATTCGAGAGAACCCTTATCCTTAAATAATTATTGTCCTTAGCCCAGGATAACGCCTCTTTAACAGCCATTGCTTCTGCAAGATGTACATCACGGAGACAGCATAAAGGGCCATTTTTAGCAGCTACGAAAGAGCCTTCGTCATCTAACACCACAAATCCAAAATAAGCCTCCTCAGCACTATCATACAACGCTGCATCAACATACAAAGTGTAATGCCCCAAAACAGGCTGAGGTACACTAACCAGTAGAGAGGAAGCAGATACAGTATCCATCTGGCCGGCATTGAGTTCGTTCCACTGCGCCGCTAAGTGCATGGCTTCATGTTGAACGTGTGAGACCAGCCATGGGGTGCTATTCCAGATTAGTTCATTCCTATATCGCCACACACACCAGCAAACAGCCAAGCTAATCAAAACTGAGGAAGATGATAACATACCCTCTAGCCAAGCCACAAAGTCCACGCTGCCGTCTGTTGGGACATGAATTGCAACGCTGTTCCAAACTGGAACAACATGCATGCAGCGAAAGAATAAGCGAGGCAAGTCCTCCACATCTGCACGACACAAAGGGCAAGCAGTATCAACAATAATCGCACGACGTTGCAACGCTTCCATAGTAGGCAAAACATTATGAGTACAGCGCCATATGAAGTTTTTAATGTTTGGTGGAACTTTAAGCTTCCAAATTTTGCGCCATATAGAGACTGTACTATCATGAGAGGAAGGTATACCCGACAGGATACGGTAACCATGCTTTACAGAATATTGGCCCCTTAAATCCCCTCTCCAACACCACTGGTCTTCAAAGTTTGGTGAGATGGGAATCTGCAAAATCAACTCAATATCACGTTGTTCAAACAATGCATTCAAACTGGTTAAATCCCAATCATTAGTATGTGGATTTACCAGTGAACTGACCTTCATGTCTATATCAGTGCTATTTGATTGAGATACAATAATTTTAGAGTTGTACTATATAATTTTTTGGACAAAAATATCCCTACCGTTATAACTTCTGTTATCTTTTCCATTATTGTTACCATACACATGCATCCACCATATATAATATTTGTAGAAATTATATATTAGATTATTATAATAAAAAATAAATTTTATTTCATATAATTTTAATTAGTATGGATTTATTAGTTATTTTAAAAAATATAAATATTGGGCATATGTTTTTGCGCATCGCGCATAGAAAACATTAATATATATATATATATATATATATATATATATATATATATATATATATATACACAATAATAATACTTATCTATAGGCGTTAAACTCACATGCAAATGTACTCCCTCCGTCCCATTTTGTTTGTCTGGTTCGTTTAACGAGGCTTGACTGAAGCTATTTTTACTTCATTTTTTCATAATATTAAATTTATTTTTAGTATATAAAATTTATATATTTAGAAACTACATTAAAAGTACTATTAAACATAAAAAATCAAATTTAAAAATAATTAAAAATTACTAAAGAAAATAAGCAATGAAGAAAGAGTTGGATTGACCAATGAATAGTAAACAGGACATGCAAAATGGGACAGAGGGAGTAATTCATATACTGCAATTCATACTCAAATATACATACTACACATTACAATATATCAATCAATTTTGACTTAATAGATCATGGAATAAGTAAAGTGACATGCAATCATGTGAGTAACCAAATTAAGGAAAGAAAGTAAAACATTATAACATGCATAACCTTGGAAATCAAGTGGCATAAACAACTCGACAATAATCATGAAACAATGGAACAATCATGGTAAAACTAGTACTTGACGTGAAATCAATAATATGCTCTCACTCTCAAGAAAACAAGAGTTTTATATTTATATAGATAGTAATAATAGAGGGGTCATCATACTTCTCATTATTCATAACTGTCTCATCAATCTCATCGTAACATCAATTTCAACTGAATCATCATACTGGTGGGGAGGTAGGAATTTCACCATGTATGAATGAACCTATCCCGGCTTAGGAATTCTCGATTGGCCTGACAACGTCTCGCCCACATATCTCATAAGTAACATGGAAACGGGACCACTACCTTTAGTGTGCACACCTCCTAACTGGGATTCCTAGCCCAGCGAGTAATAGCTCAAACCCCAAAGTGAACCCAGGATGCTTTCTACCAGGCCACTTCAATACATACTTCCGGGAATTCTCTACCGTATCTCATTTCATCACAACATTCTTTTCAAGTAACTAACCTCCCGGGATTTCTCTACCGGATATCATTTCATCACAACATCTCATCATTCTTTTCAAGTAATCGAAGTCCGAGCATCACCTCCGAGATGTAAATATTTTCCTCACATAATAGAATATTACAACATAACACACAAGT